TGGGTAAATTTCCCCCTTTCCGTTCTTATTCCCCACCCTGCCAGTGAAGGTCTCCTCCAATCTTCTTTCCTAAGTCAATGGTCTCTCCCCTCCTGACAGGTCCTAGCCTACATCCCAGACTGGTTGCCATGTCCTTGTTTCCCACAGTCCCTTATCTTCTCAAGGGTCAACCACGACCCAGGTGCATCCCATTTGTCTTTTGCATCCTGTTCTGAATCCTCATTAACTGGTTTCTTTTGGTTACATTACCAGCAATGCTTCCCAAGTTCATGGACAGTTTGGCCTTAAGGCCTGCAGGCTTCATCTACTCTAGGCACTTATGCTAAGCTGAAGCTAAATCAGCTCCAATTTCCTTCTCTAACAACAGATAAGGCAAAACATATGCATGTGTCTGCCAACACTGTTGCAAGGGTGTTAACATTTAGTAGAGAAGTAGTAAGTAGCATGAAACAGCTATGACTGCGGCGGTTCTTCCCATGAACCTGTGTGCCTATGATCATAAACTGAGATTCAGCCTTTCAGAATATTGTACCTAGATAAGAAGCACAGTAAAATATATAAAAGATGTGGCCTTTGTATTTTCAGTGTGCAAGGCAAGGACAAAGTTTCACCTTTGCATCTGAACTGCACTGTTAGAAGTTCAGACCCATACTCACAGTTTGAAATACAAATCTAATGTATAAATACAACATTATTATTTAAGGAATGTGGCTGTTATCCTGAGTTATTATATAAGCCATTTGTAACACCTTTTTTGCACAGACTAAAAGCTGTGGAAGATGTGAAAAAATATATATGCATATTCACTTGGGATGAACACTGAAGGTGATTTTGTACTACTAAAACAGAATTCTTTCCAACTGCATGTAGTACGTTTCTAGTCTTGCCTGTAGTATGAAAAAGTATTCCAGAGTTAATACAGATTTGTATGAAAACTAAGGAGAAATGCACAATGATGTTTAATACTTGGAATCCCATACCCCCTGAAACTTAAGTCAAAATTAATTATGGAATGTATTGAAGTAAGAAACCTTAAGGGTGAAGATCTATTTATGCAGAGAACTGGTATAATATTGACACAGCAATATGAACATTCTTTATTGCTCTCACTGGGCTAATTTACAGATTTTTCAAATGCTGTGGCATGGTTAATCCCTAGTTTTGGCACATCTACTTGTGATTGTGATTTCATTGCAAAGGGCTCCTCTTCAACAGGGCATTAAATAAATTTTCTTATTTACAGTATGGAGATCAAAGAATATAAACAATAACCCGTTTAGTTAGAGACTTACACAGAAACAAGAACATAAGTGGTTCCAATATATCCTTACATCTCACAGTTCATGATTAACATAAATTTAAGCCTTTAAACAAAAATACAGTAACATATCACGGGGGGGGGGTCAAAAATCCTCCCCCAATTTCAGAATCAAGATGGTAAGTCCATCAGTCAGGCATCATCAACCAATGCTGCATTTGAACCAGCGGTTAACTGGTGAAAGACCATCTCCCCACTGAGAATCACCGACATATTTAATTCTCTTGAATTTTTTTTTAATCTTTCTACCAAAGGCACCCTTCCCCTCCAAAAATATCATTTCGTTTGCAACAGTAAGTATACACAAAGTTCTCATCAGTTAAAAACCTGCTATAACTTAGAAGTATTATTCCTCATGCTTTTAAAGCCCTTGCACATGCAACAGAAAATGAATGCCAGAATTGGGTCACATCAAGTAAAAATCATTTTGGAAATATATTTTTCACAGCAAAACATGTCAGTTCTGTAAATAATGGGGTGCAACTTCACTTCTGCGTTAGATCTTATTGTAAGCAGAGACAAGGGGAAATAAGAATTGGTAGATGACAAAAGGGTAAATCCCACACCATGATAGTTTGACTTTAAACATGGAGAACAGAATAATTCAGGCTGAATGGGACCTTGGGAGGTTATCTAGTCCAACCTCCTGCTCAAAGCAGTGTCAACGCTGAATTCAGATGAGGTAAAAGATGTTTAAACCAAAATGGACCTTCCCTCTTAAAGCATTTAAATTGGGTATACAGTAAACGGGGCCCAAGTAAATCGAACTCTTTTTAACTATGTGCATGTTGGACAAGAAAAACTGAATGACTGGGTAGCTAAACATACGTACGAAGATGTATGTATCTAACCACTTATAGTCATGTCCACTTAAAAAAAAAAAAGTTCATATTAAACCATGGCTTAGATGATGCTTTATTCCCTCACAAGAGATGGCTATATTATGTGGAAGAGTTTTTATACAAATGTATAATTCTTGTAAGCATAGGCTGGTGCTGGTCAGTGTGCAAAACTCCTGAACTGTGAACAGACATTATGTATTTCACTTAGTACTGTTGTAAAACCATATAATCCTCAGAGAAGCAAGAAACAAGTGCAACAATTCATACATCAGTTTTTCATTTTTAATTTAGTAATTGTTAAATGGTTTCAGAGCAGGCACTACATTATTTCCAAACACAATCAAATATCTTTAACATAATTTTGAAAAATAACCTCTTCATCTCAGTACACACATGCACATATACACACACACTAATTAAAAAATCTGTACATATGTATTTTCCAGGAAGCAACTCAAAGAACTGTACCACAAAGAATTAGCTTTTGCACTCTGACACACCACAAATTATAATCAGTTTGTTGATGATAGAGTTTAAGGACACAAAATGCCATGCAATGCTGTTTAGTAGAAAATGAACTGGTAAAGAAATTTGTTTATTCAGTGCTAAGTGAAAGAGCAGAATTCCTTAAATAAAACAAATGCCAATTTATCATAGATCAGAAATATTTATTGTCCCTGAACTAGCCAGGCCCCAGTTACGTGCATCTCCTTAAGCCAATTCTCCTGATAGACAAGAGTGAGGAAGTATGACTCTGAAAATCCAAGGTACTTAATTTCTTATTATTGGCTGAAAAGATGCTTCAAGAAAGGAGTATTCTTGTTGATTCTGAGTCTGAAAGTCCATCTTCTTGATTAGTGGCCTCATAATCACCTGCACTGTCAGCTAATTCAATGTCTTGGTCATCATTACTCTCTGCGCTGTAATCAACTTCTTCAAGGAAGCGAGGCTCATCTTCATCCAAAACATATGTAGTGGGGCTATAATGAACAAGAAGCTTCATGAATCATTTTAAAAGGTTTACTTTGAGCACTACATTCAGACTATGCACCTTCCCTGTCCTGACATACAATAATCCAAAAATGATCTCAGGAAAGGAGCAGTTTACCTGAAATAAGTATTGATTTTTTTTTAATTGCACATAAAACTGAGAGACAAAAGCACATTTGTAAGACCTTGAACTAATTAGTCAATCGTACACAACTCATTATCCAAATATGACATAAATTAGCTACACATTATAGACCTACACTAATGGCCTGTAAGAAGTTCATATAATTACAGTAGTATCAGAAGTGTTGCAGAAGGATACAAATACATAAAGAAACAGCTATTGCTCCTAGGTTTAAGTAAACTAAAAACCAGATCAACATCTACAAATTCAGGTAGGAAACCTTTTTATTTTGCTAAAACAAACATTTTACTGGAAAGCACTGAGTGATTCAACTGCACGCAACAGAGGTGACAAAATCAAGTTTTTGTCCACAACTAAGGTTAAGTTCCCATATGGTTCATATGACTCATATCAGGTCCTCATATACTTGCATGCAGTTAATGTTTAAAAATTATACATTAAACCCAGCAACCCAGAGGTAGTAGATTTAAGGAACTGAGCTATTGGTCACAGAATGATCTATAGTGTCTGTGCCCTTAACCAACAGCCTCCAAAACTAACAGGTATTAACACCATTAGGTTAACCAGAAAAAGGTTAAAATATACTTTTTTGATCATCTCACCTTCATAGGACACAGAAAAATAAAGACCAATATGTTTTCCACACGTGGTTTTACTACCTTCCCTTGGGACATAAAAAGCTATCTGCTTAAAAGCACTAAGTACTTCTAAACATTTCATAAGTAGTTTTGAATTCAGATGAGGTCCTAAGGTTTTTGTAATGCACTAATTTTAATTGATAATCAAATCATAGAGAACAAAAACAGTTAGAATGTTCTGTTTATTGAAAAAGATCAACAGGTATTTGAATAAATATGTATTAATTTTGATGAATTTCATCTTAAGGTATGCAACAGCCCATCTTGGCTGTGGCTTTATAGTTGAATAAGATTAATCACTACTTCTTTCTAAAGGTCTTTTTAAGAGCTTAAGTGGACCACCTGAGTCTGCAATGCAGTCTATTCAGCACGAATAAATTTCACGCTATTCCACCTCCATCTGCAACCTCAATGACATGCAGTAGTGTAATGTTTTGTGCAGTTGACAACTGATTCACATATTGGGACAGCAACAGATGAAAAGAATTGTTAGTCCTAAAGTAAAAAAAAAAAAAAGAAACAAAAAGAATGAAGATAGAAGACTTAAAATAGTAAGAAAATATATCATCCAAAAAGTTTGGCTACTGTCTCTAGATTTACGTTTACAACAGATCTGTGTCATCATTCACTGAACATGCTAGTACTCACTAAATAGTGAGAAATGGGATGCACCACAAAACTAAATACTTCTAAAGATTATCTCAGCTATAATTAGGACAACAACCCACTATGTTGGTTACTTAACTAGTACTAGGTGTGTAAATAAAATAGTTTCTATTTAAGAAAGAGACAAGAGTGAGGAAATTAACCAGTATCTTTACTAATAAACCTCTTTCATTTTACAGGTGGGGAAATCAAGTTACCACGAGGATACATGTTTTGTACAAAGTACCTGTGGTAGAACTAGCCAAAGAAAACAAGAGCTCCCACCTTGTGATGCTTTCTGCCTTAAGAAGTCACTACCTACCACCACTTCTTCAAAAGGAGGAAAATGAAGAGTTGAAAAATTTTCATTTACATAAAAAACAAAAGTGAAAGGAACTCTGCCAAATGCATGTCATTCCAAAAAATACACAGCTTTTTTTTAGCGCAGCTAACAGAGGCAGCGAATAGACACAGCAGTTTGCGCAGCAGCGTCTGGGCTCTGCTTAGAACTTCTGAGAACCTTGTTGGAAGTTGTGGAGGCTTTCTGGGGACCCCCAAGGAACTAGACAGTGCTTGCTGCTAGCAGGAAAGGAGAGCTAGGCAAGGGCTACTACAGGAGGCCTTGACTTCTCCTGGGAAGCTCTAGCTAGGTGTAGCTGCTGCTAACAAGCTCTCTGGGTGGCCCCTGATTAGGAGGAGTTGGGGCCTTTGATCCAGGTGGCCCTTGATTAGGGTGGGTCAAGCACCCTGTGAGCCAGCGCTAGGCAGAGGCCTATATAAGAGCCAGGCCTAGAGCACAGCTCCCAGAATGCAGCAAACAGAGGCAGCAGTTTGTGCAGCAGGGTGCCAGAAGGCACCTTCATTTCTCATAGTAGTGTGTGCTTCCCCGGGGCATGGTCATGACATGCTGCAGAGCACATTCCCCAGTGGCTGCTGGAGGTGCTGCATCACCTGTGTCTGAGGCTTCAACCCAGACAGACCCTCAGACAGCAGATGCAGCTCTGCAGGTGTCAGGCTGCAGGGAATGCCTGGGGCCTCTCTGTGAGGCCTGGGCTGACAGTCAGCTCTCCTGCAGAAGGTGTGCTGTGGTTGACCAGTTGTGTTGCCAGGTAAAGGAGTTACGGGAGGAAGTCAGTAGGCTGCGTAGCATCTGAGAAGATGAGCAGGAGATTGACAGGGTATTCTCAGAGACTGTGCAGCTCCAGGAGTCCCCACCCCCCACTGCAGC